AAAAAATTATAAAAATAATAATAAATTTCATTATTATTATCAATATGTTGGCAATATACATATATATGTATATGTAGAAACATACATATATATATTTTCATGAATTTTAATTTTTGTACTTGTTTTTTTTTTTTTCAATAGATTTGCATAGTAAATAATAATAATAAACATTCACATATTGGTTGCTCTTGTATTTTGTTTCTTTTTTTGGTATCTTGTGTGCTTGGTATTTTGTATAGTATTTTGTTGATATTTGTTTTGGTTTTGATTTTGGGTTTCTTGTTGGGAAATTTACCTCTTGCGCTTTGAGTTTCTGCACGTGCTCTAAATCAAATTTATCGCCCTCCAATTCGTAAAGTCGTTGCCAATATTGTTTGCATATTGTTTGCAGTTCGGCTGCGGTAACGGTAAACGGTAAGCGGTAAACGGTAAACGGTAAGCGGTAACGGTTATAAATAAACGTCAATCAAACGTTCAACGCGCGCAATAGTTCGTGTGTGTGTGTGATAGAGAGAGAGAGAGAGAGAGAACGTGTTTGTGTGTGTGTGTGTACGTATGTGTGTGTATGTGGGTATATGTGCAAAAAGAGACGCAAATAGATCCGGTTATAAGAATAGATAAAGATAGTAAAGAGGTAAAAAGACAAAGAGAGACAGAGAAAGAGAGAGAGACAGAGAGAAAGAGAGAGAGAGAGAGAAAGTGTGTATGTATATTTGTAATTCGGTTGTGAGTGTTTTTTGTTTGTTGTGAAAGACGTTTAGAGAGTAACAGGTAAAGTGAGAGGGAGAGATAAAGAGGGAGAGAGATAGATATATAGAGAGAGAACGAGCGTCGTTCGGCGCGTATCAGAAAAGAGAAGGAATATATTCGAAATTAATACATAATAGAGATTGAGCTTTATCCTTAGCTTTACGATATACATATATAATATTTGTTTTGATCTATTGATCATTTTTGTTTTTTTGTTTTTTTTTAACACCTCTAATTGTTGCATATACATAAATACATAATAATTGTGCTTTGATTGCTTCAATTTTCTTTTGTTATTTTATTTGATTTTTTTTTCGTTTCAATTTTTTGTTTGTTACTTATACATTTTACTTTGTTTGCATCGTTTTTTTTTTTCAGTGTAGTGCGCTTTTTTTTTTTTTTTTTTGTTTTTGTATGAGTTGGGTGTCTGTTATATTTGTGGTTGTTGTTGTTGCTGTTGTGGTTGTTGTTCTTGTGGCTGTGGCTGCGTGACTGTACTTGTTTATGTGTAAAAGGCCCTGCTTATGAGCTATGTGAACGAGAGAGTGAGAGCAAGGTACGCAGCTTACTCGCTGCTGGCAGAGCAACTCGCCAATTGACTCGCTACTTTGTGTACTCGTTGTGAGGTCTACTCGCTACTCGCTGGTCATGTGTTCGACCTCTACTCGCTTGTCTACCTAGGCGAGCGCGTTCGCGCACTCGCTGAGCCTATTTAGCCCTATTTGGTCCCTCAGAGCGTTACTCGTTACTCGTTATTCGTTGGTCGTTGTGCGTTGTTCGTTGTAGTTCAATTAGTAAAAAGCTGTTTGCAAAATACAAAATACAAACGAAACAGCTGTACTACGACAACAAGACGACAACGAAGCCATTGATAAAAAACGTACTTAAGCTAGTTAGGAATTCGTTATTAATCTCAAAAAAACGAGAGAGTGAAAAATAAAAGCCACAAAAAGCAAAATATTGGCCAAAAATTGCATATAATTATAGATAGGTAGATAGGTAGATAGATAGATACTTAAGAGCTAAGAGGAAAGGTCAAAGGGCAGTAACAACAGCGTGTATTTGGCATTGTTGTTGTTATTGCTTGGCTTTAGTAGAGGCCGCGAGTTAGTTGAGGACCGTCGAGCCGACATTGAAGTCGTTCAACTATCCATTTAGCAATCGGGTTAGTTCGTTATTGGCACTACGTCTACGGGCAGTTACTCGTTTTATATACTGTTTATACTATCGCCCAGTATGTCGAACGGGTGATTGGACAAATTTTGAACGGTGCTCTCTTGATCAATTGGTATTCAAAACTTGTACTCGGGCCTCTCTTCCATATAAAATCAAAATCATGGAAGAGATCGAGATGGCAAAAATTACAGTGAACGGAGTTAAATATTATCTACGTTTACGCTAGCTAATCAAGGGCTACGATTGGCGTAGCCCCGGCCGGGAACACACACACACAGACTGGCCGCCAGGGGGCGTTTTGGTGCGGGCATCGCTGGAATATTTGCATATATCTTTCAGGTGCTGCTCACAGACTATGTTTACTATCCAAAGTGTGTGTCTGGACCCATGTTATTGACATTTCTTTGTTGTCGCAAAGAGAAGTAAATCAAACTACGAAAAATTCCATCGATCTCTAGTCGAGTTATCTAGTTCCGCAACGCTTGGAGCTTGGAACAAATCCGATTAGATCGAGATTGCGAGAAATAGAGAGAGAGAGAAAGAGAAAGTTATGGGTGCAACGCTTGCCTCAAAGTCCTTTCTGGCTACCTCGTGCTCCACATCGTATTTCTCAGACTCCAATTTCAGTATCTTACTGTAATAATCCTGACAAACTTTCTGTAGTGTATCTGCGAATGTGAAAACGAGTGAGTTTTGGATTTCGTGTTTGTTCTGCTTCAAAATTCGGATATGATTCGTTGTCGGGTCTCAAGTACTGCACGAACTGCAGACGAGTGTATGTGTGTGTGTGTGGCTGGGTAGGTGTTGGGTGTTGTGTGTATGTGTGTAAAAGAAAAGGCCCAAGTGTGATTTGCATTTGTGTGTGTGTATCAATTGAGAGAGAAGAGTTCTTTACAAAGAGAAAGAGAGATTGGACCAACGATAGAAAGAGAGCTAAAGAGACAAGAGAGACTTTAAGAGCGCCACAGCTAGATCTGTAGCATAAATTACCTTGAATTACCGCAGTAATTACTTTGGTAATTACATGTAGTAACTGAAATAATTAGGTAAGAATGGCTTCAAATGCTGACAACAAAAGTTTCCCAACAACTTGAGCTAATGGGCACATAAGTACTTACAATTACTCTGGTAATTAAAAGGAATTACGCAAGTAATTAACTAGGTAAATTGCAATGGGACCAATAGTACACCAGTTAAATTATGATAACCATAGGAAATTAGGCTTACGGATTAGAAAAAAACGAGTAGATATATAGATATTGTATATATATATATATAGGGGGAGTATATAAGAGGGTTTATGTATGTACAAGGAATTTGGTTTTAGTTTTTAGTTTTGTTGTTTGCTTGAGTAAAAAGAATTTACTGTATACAAAATGGATTTGTACGAAAATTAAGTGTATTATACAAATATAGTTAGACAGCAATAGAAATATTTATATAGAGAAAGACAGAGAGAGAGAGAGAGAGAGAGAGAGAGAAACATATATTTATATATATATATAGCTGACATTAGCTATTGATGTTGCTATTGCTGTAGCTGCTGTTGTTGTTGTTGTTAAGCGTTAAATTTTGTTTAGACTTTTGATTTTGATATATAGATATATAGATATATTTATATAAGAAATTATGATGTGGATCGCAGGATAAATAGATAGATAGGTAGATAGGTAGATAGATAGTTATGTAGTAGATATGTGCGTGTACCTCAACATCCTTGCGTTTAACAACATACTCAAGATCATATTTCTGGTCCTCCAGCTTACAAATCCTGTCATAATGTTGCTTGATCAGGGTTCTCAGTGTGTCTGTGTCAATCAAAATTTGTATTTGGCATCATGACAAAACACACACAGATACAGAGAGATAGAAATGTAGACATAGGTACATATATATATATACATATTGGGTTACATTCGATATGGGCATGGGTGTGTAGGTGTATAGGTGTGTGGGTGTGCGTGTGTGTGTGTATATATAGGCAGAGACGGTCAACGGAAAGTGTGGGAGGAGAGAGAGAGAAATATAGAGAATAAGTGATATATTTCAATATATAACATATGATTATGTGTGTGTGTGTGTGTGTGTAGGAGGTGTATGTAATGTGTATGTGTAAAGCGCAACTTGTTGTTGTGTTTGTTTGATCTCTTTTTTATATAGTGTATGTATGTGTGTGTGTGTGATGATATATGACACTTTTTGTAGACTCTTATTGTTTATGTTTCGAGTTGATTTTATTTTATTTTATTTTTTAATTTTGTAGGCTAAAAACTGCAAATAAAATTGATTTAAATTTTCTTTGCAGTTTTTTTTTTCTCAGTTTTCTTCTTTTTTTTTTGGTTTAGCTTATTTTCTTATTATTTTTTGTATTATGTTATTCTTATGAGAATTTTTGTTGTTCAATTATATATTTTTTTTCTTTTTCTTTTTTCGTCTTCTTTTTTGCTTCGCTTTCATTGATGTGTTTCGCTTGAACCGCTGGCACTCACCTTCGCTGGCATCACTGAGATTCCTGGGGCTGCCGCAACGTTCTTCAATGATGCGTCTACGTTCAGCCGCTTTGCGTTCCTGCTCTTTCTTCAATTCCTCAGCGGCTTTCTTGCGCAGCAACAACTGAAAGACGACGAAAGGCCTGTATTAGTACTTGAATTGCCCACTGTGCAGCGGCAGTGCTCAGTGCTGCCACCTAGCTAAAACTTTGCACAAGTTGACAGCAATGAATCAAAGCTCTCAGTGTTGCCACCTGGGGTTGCTGTCTGCTTCTTTGCTTTTAGTAAATGCAGAAATATCAACATCTAATCTAAACTTCTCTCTATATCTTTTTGAGCGCTGCCACCTAGGTAAACCTGGCTCATCTGGCAGAGCTGAGCAACATTTTGAGAACAAATTTGATAGTTTCTCTATATCAATTACATTTGGCACTTCACATCTGGCAACGCTCAACACTATAGAGTGCGCAATTTCACCTCACAATTTACGATGCACACTTACCCGGAGTTTCTTCTTCCTTTCTGGGGTCATGAAGCCCTTCTTGGCCTTCTTGGCCTTGGAGGCTTCCTCCATGCGCTTGCGCACCTCGGCGCGCTTGCGCTCGATCTCAGCCTGTTTAGCCTTCTTAGCCTGCAAACAGAAGCGAACACACAAATCTCAATTAGCATCGTAGGCGACTGATATCGCTATCGCTATCGCGATCGGTTTAGTTATCGCTATAGAACATGTAGATGGCACACGAAGATGGTGACGTGGGACTTGGGGTTGCTTGTTGATTGGCGGCTGCGTGAACATTTCTTGGACTGGGCGAGTTGGCGCTGGCGCCCACACACACGTACACCAGTGTACCTCCTCGGCCTTCACTTTGGGATCGTTGGGATCCTTTGGCGGGCCGGCGGGCGCGGCGGGTGCGGCAGCCGCTTTGCCATTCGCAGCGGGCGCAGCGGCCGCTTTGCCGTTGGCGGCGGCGGCGGCTGGGGCGGCGGCGGCCTTTGCAGGGGCAGCAGCTGGAGCTGCTGCGGCAGCGGGGGCAGCTGGTGCCGCTGCAGCCTTTTTCTGCAATTGCACAGAGAAGACGATAAACGATTAGTTATCGAACAGTATTTCGGTAGAACAGAAAATTAACATAGAGAGCAACGACGCCACACAGACAGCACAACGACAGAACGAACAGTGGACAATCGATAAACGACAATCGACAATCGATAACATTGATCACTTGACAGTTCGTCCGTGGCAGTTGTGTATATCGGAACTAGAGCGCCAGCTGCGAAAGCAAGAGAAGCCAGTGCATGCGAGTAAAAGTTTAGCGAGCGCAAAGACTAAATAGCTGAGCCTGGTTAATCGTGTAGTTAATTTCGATTAGATTCGATATTTGCTTCTAAATGAATTCAATGAACTCACCTCGACCCAGTTGCGCCGCCCAGCAGTTCGCCAGCTTCCTGTTCCGTATGCCCAGTGCCTAGATCTGCCTAGATCTGCCTAGATTTTGACGCTTTTCAACACTGTTTCAACTGCAATTCGTACATTGATTGAGTGCCTTTCTATGCGATTCACAGCACGTATTCGATACTCACCTCACCTCATCATCAGCCATTTTGATTTGTGTTTTTTTGAGTTACTGCAAGTAAAAAGAGTTGAGCACCAAACGATGAGTGTGTTTTGAATGAGTCCCAATGCAAATGGCGACTAATGCAAAAGCTCATCAGCCACGCACACTCACACACACCCACACATACACACACAGCTTGCTAATAATGCGTGGGTGTTTGCCGACAGGCTGTCATTTAATTGGCTGTCGGCAGATGTTCCATAAATTCAAAATAATTAACTGTCTACGCACACACATGCACACACACACTTATATATTTTGTCGGCGAGCACAGTGCGTATGCGCAATGCACGAAGCGATTACGTATACGGCATCGCTGGCGCACCGTATATGGGGGCAGTGCCTGCTGATCGCGCACTCTCGCTGACTCTCTCTCTCTCTCTCTCTCTCCCTGTCTGTCGAGCTTGGGTGTGCAAGCAGGACAACCTGTTTAGCCAACCATCCATATCCAATTACAGGCGTCAGAATGAGAGAGCAAGCCAAAGAGAGAGCGGGAGAGTGAGAGCGGCAAAGAGAATGCGCGCACTCTATGCACTCACGCACAGTGAAAAGCTCTCACTAGAAGCTTTCGCAGCAACAACAACAAAAACCGTGTTTTTTTTATCACAACAACAACCGTTATGGTCTATATAGGCTATATAAATACCGTTATTGCCAAACGAATCAAGCTAAAGCCGAAGGTTGCGCCACATTTCAAAGGCGTTTTTAGCATTCAATGGAAGAAACTGAGGCAAAGGCTTATGGAACTTTAACACATATCTCTGAATGCTATATAGAACAGATATGGCAGATGTGTTATAAGTATATATATACATATCAAATAAATATATATTTATCTACATTATATTTCAGTATATAGCATAGATTGACTATGCGCATATAAATAAAATATTTTAGACGCCTTCGCTTCGAATGCTTCGAGTGCTTTTCGAAAAGTAGCTGAGTTCTTTGTCATATAGCTATATGATATAGTATATAGTAGATAGTATATAGACAGTTGATATTACTGATCTAAAAGATATGTTTTATGTCAGCATAGATACATAATATAATATATATATACATACATATATATACATAATATATCTAGACCAAAGTATCTGGAATCTGATTTGTGAACTCTATTGAAGAGTTGTTGAAAAATGATTTTCATCCTGATCTTTAAAAGTGAAAAATGTTATTCATTATGAACTCAAAAGTCCAGCTATAGCTAGAAAGAGCTAAAAGTAGCTGTAAGTAGCTGTAATCGAGCTGAAATTATATAGCAAGATTTTAATTTCGAGTGCATTTATATTATCTGTAACTGGATAACTATTTGAATTAACTGATTCTTTGTAATTTGTTCCATAAGCTTCATAATTTCTTCGATTTTCATGCGACAACGAAAATATTTCAAAATTTTAAATTCGTTTTCAGATCGAATTTTGTGGCTCTGCTAAGTACGCATATGAAATGTATACGCGTGTGTGTATGTGTGTATGTATGTATGCGTGTGTGTTTGTCTGTGTGTGTGTGTGTACAATGGCATATTTCTATTTTGGGTAACAGTTGTTGCTCTTGTTGCTGCTGTTGTTGCTGTTGCTGTTGTTTTTGCTATTGCTGTTGTTGTTGCTATTGCTGTTGTTGTTGTTGTTGCTGTTGTTGTTGTTTTCGCTGCTTGGCGCTGAGATGTTCGCATTGAATTGTTGCTGTTGCTCTGCCTCTGCCCCTGCCTCTGCCTCTGCCTCTGCCTTTGATTGTGGCTGTGGCTATTGCTCACACGAATGTATCTTGTATCTGTCAGCTACATTTTTAGCTTTTGCACGCATACACATGCACGCACATACACACACATACACATTCCTTACATAATCGTTGCGTTCAACAACAATTATGAGAAAAGTTTGCAAAAAAAAATTCGATCCAAAAAAAATTTAAATATGCTTTATCCAAAGTATCTGTATCTTTAACTTTAGCGCTTGTATCTTTTTGCGCTTTTCATTCATTTCTTGTGCGATTGACACTTGAGCACTTGAAAAAAATATTTGAAAAAAATATATCGAAATATAT